TTGTTATGTGTTGATGATTTCTCTCGCTTTATGTGGATTTTTCCCTCTTAAACGCAAATCTGATGTCTATGATGTGTTCGAATAATTTATTACCGTTGTTGAATGCCAGTTCTCTACCAAACTTAAATATGTTCAAACTGACCGGGGGGTGAGTTTCACAAACTCACTCAATTCTTTACCTCACTTGGCATCATTTATCGTCTCTCGTGCCCTCATACAAGTGTACAAAAAGGCTTGGTTGAGAGGCGTCACAGCCATGTCGTTGAAACCGGGGTGACTCTTATTGCTTAATAGGGTGTTCCGAACACCTATTGTCATTTTGCCTTTGACACCACGGTTTATCTCATCAACCGCATTCCATCCTGGACCACATCTCGTATCTCACCCTTTGAGTCTATATTTAAGTGCCGACCTGATTTCTCCTTTTTCTAAAGGTCTTTGGGTTCCAATTTTTTCCTCATCTCCGACCTTACAATCAACACAAGATGGATTTCAGGTCTACTCCATGTGTCTTCCTCGGGTACAACTCCTCACACCAAGGGTATCGGTGCCTTGACTCCATTTTTGGCAGGTTGTATATCTCCTGTCATGTTCGTTTTCATGAACAATACTTTCCATTTCTGGCTCCTGTATCTACGCCAACTTCACCCTCTCCTTCCGACCCATATGTCTCGACCTACCCATTATCCATTATTCCTGAAACCTCACCACCTGCCACTACACAACCAACTCATCCATCCTCACAACCCTCCCCCCGCCTACCACCGTACCCCTTTCGAATCCATCGATGGAACCGGTTACTGACGCCACCCCTCTTTTCACCTATGCTCGTCGAAACCGACACATACCTGACCCTGTTACAGATACAACTCCTGTTTTAATTGAGGCCACAACCGAGGCTCATCCTACGGTTTCTACTACCCGGCCACACCCCGCTACATTTTGTCAAAACCCGAAAAAGAAAGTTCCTTTTGATCCAACGACTTTTCATACTTCCACCAACCATGAACAGGAACCAACAACCTTCTCAGCTGCTGTTAAATACCCACATTGGAAACAAGCTATGACTAATGAATATGATGCGTTAATACGGAATCGCACATGGACACTCGTACATCCCACAACTAATATAAACATTTTCGACTGCAAGTAGGTCTACAAAATTAAATATGATCACATTGGCTCCATTTCACGGTATAAGGCTCGCCTTGTAGCCAAAGGCTTTCATCAACAACCCGCGATTGACTATCATGATACCTTTAGCCCGGTTGTCAAGTTTACTACAGTACGGGTCGTTCTCTCTCTTGCGGTGTCCAACAAATAGCCTCTTCGACAATTGAATGTCAAAAACGCCTTTCTCCATGGTGATCTCAACGAGACGGTCTACCTGCGCCAGCCTCCTGGCTTTGTTGATCCTCACAAACCCAACCATGTTTGCTTACTTCATAAGTCCTTATACAGGCTGAAACAAGCCCCACACGCCTGATTTCACCGGTTGTCTCGAGCCCTTCACACTCTCGGCTTTCAAGGATCTCACACCGATCCCTCTCTATTCATACTATCGGCTAAGGGTACGCAGGCTTACATGTTAGTTTATGTTGACGATATCATTATTATAGAAACAACCCTGGGGCTATTGATCAAATTGTTCGAAGTCTTGGTCAGACCTTCGCTATTCAAGATATGAGGGCTCTTTCATACTTCCTTGGCGTTCGGTTGCATACCATGGTACTGATCTCTTTTTGTTTTTTATCATAATAACGATATATGTTAGATATTTTACAACATGCTAGTCTTATTGAAGCCAAGCCAGTTAGCACACCTCTTCCCACTGGTGCCTCTTTATCTCTTGGTGACAACCCCCTATTTGACAATCATGTTTGATACCGTCAAGTAGTTGGTGCCTTACAATATGTCACATTATCGAAACTAGATATCACCTACGCAGTCAACAAAGTCTGTCAGTTCATGCATTCTCCGACTAACAGTCACTGGTTTGCTGTTAAATGGATTCTTCGATATCTTAAAGGTACAAGCACCTATGGTCTGCACCTCACACCATCACGAGATACCACTATTCATGCTTATGGTGATGCGACATCTCCTTTGGTTACTTATTATTCTGATGCTGATTGGGCTGGGTGTCCGGATGACCGTCGATCCACCGGGGGATATGCTATATATCTTGGTTCGAATCTAGTATCTTGGTCAACAAGCAAACATAAAGAGTGTCTCTCGCTCATCCACCGGAGCCGAATACAAGGCCCTAGCTGATACTGTTGCTGAGGTAACCTGGCTTGAAACCTTATTACGAGAGCTATGTATTCCAGTCATTACAACACCATTCTTGTGGTGTGACAATCTTGGTGCCACCTATCTGTCTGTTAATCCAGTGTTTCATGCTCGTACAAAGCATGTTGAGGTTGATTTTCACTTTGTCAGAGAGGAGGTCGCTGCAAAGCGGCTCTCAGTTCAATTTATCCCCACAGACGATCAGATTGCCGATATATTCACTAAGCCGCTATCTTCACAAAGATTTGAGGGATTACGGGCCAAGATACAGGTCCTTAACAGGGCTTAGCTTGCGGGGGAATATAAGACTGTTAATATTAGTATAGGGTTTAGAGTGTAACTATGCTTATTATATATATGTATCCCTCTGTACATTAATAATTAATCTCAATACAATTATAATTACAAGTTAACAAAAGGAGCATATGCTTGATCTTGTTGAAAGCATTGTGAAGGTAATTATCAAACTTGTTTGTATTTATTCTGGTTATTTTATTCTTAAGATACGAAACTTGTTTGTTGAAAGCATTATGAAGGTAATTATCAAACACATTGTGAAGGTAAATGTGTTCACAATTGTTTCTAGTCTACATTTTATTCTGGTTATTTTATTCGGTTATAAGTAAAATTGATGAAGTGATCATTCAAATTTCATGCTTTGTTGAATTACATAAATCAACAAAAAGATTTATCAATCTTAAGATACGACATCATCCCTTTCGATTTTACTGAAGTTAAATGTATAGTATGTAAGGATTATATTGTGAGAATTAACTAACTATATATGTTTGTATTACAATTTTTTAGGTACAAAAGTTGCAACAACAAGTTGGTAGAATGGAACACTCTCGAATGGATATGAGAAATGAGATGGAAATAAGGCAAGCTAAAATTGAGTTGCAAATGCAACAAAGTCAAGCTCAATTTGAACAATTTGAACAACAACTGGTGGCCTACATGAAATTCATTGGTTAACTCGGTAATTCACCAAATAATGTTTAGTTTGTTTTTTAAACACTTAGTAATGTATTTGACATTTTGAATGTATAAGACAATGTTTATTGTTTATTTTTGAAAAACAATGTTTATTGTAATGTTTTAAGCACTTAGTAATATATTTGACATTATGAGGTTTAATGTAATGGTTTGCATTTTAGGCAAAAAAACTGCAATTTAAAAAAAAAAAGTTTAATCAATTTAGAATCTGTCACTAAAAATTGAAATAATCCGTCAGAAATCCATAGCAAAACAGTCCGTTGGTAACTTGGTCAAGTGATTCTGTCAGTATCTGTCGGAAAATACGGTCAACCCTAGTCAAAGTAAATTTTTTAAATATATTTCTGATGGAAATTTCTGTCGGTAATCCGTTAAAAATGCGTCACAAATAATTACCCTTGAGCATTTTTCCTGCCAACTCAATTCCGTCGGAAATGACCTTTATCAACGGAATACCAACAGAAAAGGCCGTCGGAAATTACCCTTTTTTTTCGAGTAGTGAAACTTTGTAAGTGTTGTAGTTCATGTGATTGTGACAATATAAGTATAAGCTAGTATATGCTTGACAAATCTTTTTATTCAAATATAAATGTTATCATTGTGGTTTTTTATCATATGGGACTAGACTTAGGTAATCTATATTGTACAATTAAAATGTACTTTCTGTGTCAATAGATTATGGGTGCTAGTGCTACACTGGATTATTCGTATTTTCCTTCCCCTATCTATCTTTATATCATTGACCTTTGAAGCTCCAACATGTCCGTTTGTTTAAAACTTTAAATACCCTTAATTACATGTATAGAAGATTTATTATTTTTTAATCACTTTGACTTTTGACATTTTTTAAGGTAATCAAAACTCAAAAAGACAATCCTTCCCATGCAAAGATTATATAGTCTAAAAGTACTTATATAAGTGAAAAAACCTCCCATGTAATTCATTTTGTTGTCTTAAAGCTGTCAAAATTTATTTATGTAGCATTATAATGTGGCCATTAATAGCAATTATGAAAACATATTGGTGAGATTGATTATGATCTACAAAGTCTTTTGATCTTTGCTTATCAATTGAAACTTTTAATCGGGTGATATTTATTGAATTATGCATTAATCTTATATACTGTTTGACCTGCTATTGATATGTGAGTTTGCTGTCATAATCTGTGAACTATATGAAATATACCATGTGAAATGAAGATGTTTGAACTGATCCATGATTTTTTCTATTAATGGGATACCCGATACCTGTGGTTATATCCGTGAACCCCCGAGAAGTAAGTAATTACTTGGATCCATACATTTGAATTGATCTACTTGTTTGTTATAATAGATATTTCTGTAATTTTAAATGTTCTTTTTAAACAGCTAGTTGACTAATCGGATTACGACATAATTCTGTCGATAAAAAGTTCATATAATATGTTGGTGATCTGAATGGTAAAACATTAAATAGTCCGCCTAATCTGTCGGTAAATTGTTTCAGTCAGTAATCCGTCGCTAAATAATATGCCTTACTCTCTATCTAATTTATGATGGTTGCTTCTGTTAGTAGATTAGGATAGATGCGTCGATAAATTTTTTCAAAGGGACCCTATACTATATATGGTGTACAAAATTTAAACAATTTACAATATTTAACAGTTACCATCACCGATTCCTTTGAATAGACTTTCTTCTACATCTATGTATTATTTCTGATTGATGGTCTGATATAGAGATGCAATCAATATAAATGATAAATCAAGATATTGGATTACCAATTTCATTAATTAGGATTAATAACGATTCCATGGACCGGCCCAGATCGGCCCAAAAAGTTTCTTCGAGAACTATGAGAAAAAACATCGGGCAATTGGACATGAGATGGTATCGGTGTTTCATTTGAGTGCCCTGAAATGCAGAGTGCGCCTGTATCATCTTGCCCCCAATAAACTTCCACCATAACTCCTCGTGGATTTTCTGTTGTAGTAGTTTCTGGAATTCCTATGTATCGTGCTCCAATTGGTATCTATATAACCATCATAATTTTAATTAGGGATTACATGGTATTAATTTTAATTTTTAATGAAATTTAATATGTGGAAGACAATTACTTGAAGAGAGGTTCCTGAGGTCAAAGTCAATGTGGTGAATCTACCTTCAGCTGCAGCACTTTCGAATTCTGCCTGTTTTGCGATGTTGAGGAACACTTCTTCAAGAGTCGCAAGACTCAGTTGTATGTCCGATATACCAAATTCTGTTGAACACGACTCTTTATATGGGAAACAACAAGACTTTTATTAAGACGCTTAAGAAGATCTTACACTTTGTGAGACTACTACACACTTTGCTTTCTTTGAGGCTTTCTAGGATACTTGGATGTTGGGATTGATTTGGAGCAAATGAGCTCCATACCTATTTATAGGTGTTTCCACCTCCTTATAGGAAGTTTCTAGATCTACATACATTCATGACTATTCTAGAACTATCTACCATATTCTATATTAATTACAAGCTTTTATATGTTTCTAGAATATTCTATAATGTCCTAGATAAGTATAGACATTCTTGTGCCTTCCATAGTGTTCTAGAATGTTCCATAGCCTTCCAGGGTCTTCCATCTCATTCTAGAGTATTCTAGAATCTTCTGGCATCTTCTAGACTTCTCCATAGAATTCCATAATGTTCTAGAATCTTCCAGATCATTCTAGAACATGCTAACTTCTTCTAGACAATAACATGATTCTATCAGGCTAGTGATGACCTTCAACACTCCCCCTCAGCACTAGCCCCCATTCTTCGTATCATGTTGAGCTGACATCTAAAACCTTCACTTTTTCCTTTACTTAGCCCTTTGGTGAATAATTTCGCTATTTGTTTATCAGTCTTGATCTGTCGCATATTGACTTCTTCCTTGAGAACTTTTTCTCTTCCACATGCTTGGTTTTTTCTTAGTTGTTGTAGTCGTTGCTTCGTATATTGTTTTCGTAGTTGACAACGACATTCGTGGTTGCATTTTCTTGCAGCATAATATTGTTCCTGACTTTGTTGAACTGTCTTGTGTAGTTTCTTATGCCTCCCTTTGAGAAACTTGTAAGCATGTGAGTTGTCCCTTTTACAAGCTTTGGAAAATTTCCACAATATTAACATGTTATGACGTGATCCCTTATTGATCTGCTCATCTAGTTTAGATGTTGCTCTGTTGAGAAATTCTACTTTGCTCTTACGAATTAATGTGTTTTTCTTCTTTTTCGCCTTATCCAGTTTCTCCATCACATGTTCCATTTTTCGTCTAAGATGAGACTTTTTATGCAACTCTAGTGATGTCATGTTATTATTCTCCTTCGGAGCATCCATCTTCCAATGAACGTCTTCCTCCTCCAATGTTGTCATAAACTTTGTCTCGCTCTTCTTGAGACCTTTGTTGAGTTTCATAGTTGATAGCATTCGGGATCCAATCATATTCCTCTTCAAGGGTACAATGTGAATTATTGAACCCTTTGTGATACGCATGATATCATCTCTCTCAAATGACCAGGGTCGTACGTTGTCTAGGAAATCCATTCCCAATACCATACGACAGTCATCCATATGCACCACTGTCAAGTCTATGGTGCCTTCCCATTCTGCTATCTTAAGAGGTACTCCATATGCAACACCAATGATAGGCTTGGATAAAGAGTTGACGACTTTCAACCGGCCTGGATTTTTGGTGTATTTGATGCCCAACTTTTTAGCTTCATCTTTAGCAAAGAAATTATGGGATGCACCTGTATCTACCAAAGCGTTGGTGTATCCTCCATTTACCCTGGCATCCACGAACATTAGCCTTCCTCTTTTAGTCTTATTCTCTTCTATAGCACATAGTGCCTCAACATCCCATTCATCCTCTACTTCCTTTTTGGAAGTTACTACATTGCTTTCCACAGACTTTTTCTTTGACCAACAATCCTTGGACATGTGGCCCAACTTTCCACAATTGTTGCAGTTGCCTTCGAACCTCCTCCCCCAAGAACTCTTATTGTCGGTCTTTTGAGATCTCCATGGTTGTGAGGTTCCTTGCTGACTCTTCCCTTTGTCAGCATTTTTGTATCCTTCTTTAGAAGGTGGCTTGAAATTCCTTCGACTTTTACTTGTGTAGAGTGCTTCTTCTTCACTCTTCAGCGTGATGCCTCCCATTTGCTTAGCCATAGCTTCTTGGCTGGCCAACAAATTCTCAAACTCTACAAGTGATGGTTGAACGGGCCATCCTTGTACAGCAGTAACAAAGCTTCTATATTCCGGCCTCAGTCCATGGATAATGATCCTCTTCATTCGAGCTTCTGCAATGACGGATTGCGGATCTAGTTCAGTAATCTCCCGACATATTGACTTGACCTTGTGGAAATATTGAGCAATCGTCATGTCACGTTGTGAGATTGATAATAGCTCGTTCTCCAAAAGTTGTAGTCTCGTATCATTCTTCTTTGAGAAAAGCGTCACAAACGTGTCCCAAGCTTCTTTCGGGGTGTTCTCATCCCGAATATGCTCCAACATCTCTTCTTCGATTGTGGTCTTCAAGGCAAACATTGCTTTGCCTGCTTTGATTTTCCATTTACGTAAAGCACCATTAACGTCTTCCTCTGGTGGCGTAGTTTCGCTTCCACCAACGACCTCCCATAGATCTTGTCCTTGTAAGTAGGACTTCATACATGTTTCCCACGTTTTGTAGTTGTTGTTGTTGAGTTTCTTGATTCCTCCGACGACTTGGAGATCACCCATCGTGTTGGCAGTACCTCGGTAATACCAAACAAGCTAGTTTCGATACTAAACTTGCAGAGTCACAAACTACTCACGATACAACGAGAATCACTCGTTCTCACTATCAAGAAACCTTGCTCTGATACCAGATTGTTGAACACGACTCTTTATATGGGAAACAACAAGACTTTTATTAAGACGCTTAAGAAGATCTTACACTTTGTGAGACTACTACACACTTTGCTTTCTTTGAGGCTTTCTAGGATACTTGGATGTTGGGATTGATTTGGAGCAAATGAGCTCCATACCTATTTATAGGTGTTTCCACCTCCTTATAGGAAGTTTCTAGATCTACATACATTCATGACTATTCTAAAACTATCTACCATATTCTATATTAATTACAAGCTTTTATATGTTTCTAGAATATTCTATAATGTCCTAGATAAGTATAGACATTCTTGTGCCTTCCATAGTGTTCTAGAATGTTCCATAGCCTTCCAGGGTCTTCCATCTCATTCTAGAGTATTCTAGAATCTTCTGGCATCTTCTAGACTTCTCCATAGAATTCCATAATGGTCTAGAATCTTCCAGATCATTCTAGAACATGCTAACTTCTTCTAGACAATAACATGATTCTATCAGGCTAGTGATGACCTTCAACAAATTCCTCCTCTCTATTTTCTAGTTCCTCGAAGAATTTCTAATACCAAACCAGACACATAATCTCAATTCAATCGGTATTAATCGTTTGCACATGTGTTATAATCACTAAAATGTCAAGTCTTACAGTTAGTCGGTCCTCCTTGTAATGTGGGATAACGAACGTCGGGAATGACTTGTTTTCGTCTTTTGGAACTACATCTAAACACTATAAACATAATAAATCCAAAAAACTTAATAATAAATAAAGGACAAAATTACAAAAATGGTCCCTATGGTTTGCCAAAAGTCACAAAGTCAGTCCCTGCTAATTTTTTTTGATGTAAATGGTCCTTGTGGTTTGCAAAACTTGCACAGATGGCCCTTTTTACTAACGCCGTTAGTATTCAGTCGTTCGGGGCTGAATCTGTAAGGGTATTTTCGTCTTTTCAAGTATAAAAGGACTGAATTCGTGACATTTGGTAAACCACAGGGACCATTTTTGTAATTCATCTAAAAATAATTGAAATGAGGGGAGGAGGATTCGACCTCTTCCCCTTCTCCCAAATCAACCTAAACCTTATACCACTAAGTTGCATCCAAACTTGATTTATAGTTCCGAAAAATAAATTATATTATGTAAAATATCAAAAAAAAGATAAATAAAAAATAAATTACAATTTTTTTACATAATTGTTTTTTAATAAAACAAATTGTACTTTTACGTATTGAAGAAAAAATGAATTTTTACAGCTAGTCTACATGTTTTTTTTATGTATTTATTTTACGTAAAATAATTCTTTTTTTATGTATTTAAAAAATACATTTTTGTATAATATGTTATTATGTTGTTATAATCTTATAATATACTTTTACGTTATGTTAACGTCTTTAATTGGTTTAAAGCAAATCTACAAGTATTTTTTTTTATGTAAACATTAAGAACATGAAAACATAACGTAAAAAAATACTTGAATATTCGCTTTAAATCAACTAAAGCTGTTAAGATAACGTAAAACTATATTTTAGGATTTTAACAACGTAATAACGTACTATACGAAAATATATTTTTTAAAAACATAAAAAACATACTTCACATAAAATAAATATATACAAAAAAAAATTACGCTTTTTTTAGGATTACGTTTTTGTATAATATGTTATTACGTTTTTTTTATGTATTTAAAAATATATTTTCGGATTATAACAATGTAATAACATTTTGGAAACGTATTTTTTTAATATATAAAAAAACATATTTTCCATAAAATAAATACGTAAAAAAATTGTTTTTCTATGTGAAAGAAAAAAAAATTATTTTTTATATGAAAACGCTAAAAATATGTTTTAGGATCATAGAAATGTAATAACATATTATGCGAAAACGTATTTTTTTAAATAAATTAAAAAATATATTTTATGTAAAACAAATACTTAAAAAAATTGTTTCTAAAAAATATTTTTTTTACAATACACAAAAACTATATTTTGTTTTATTAACTTTTTTTTTGTAAAAATATGTTTTTTTATTTATTATTGTTAATGTAATTACGATTTTACGTAATATAAGTTAGTTTTGGAATTATAAACCAAATTAGGATTCAGCTTAGTGGCATAAGGCTTAGGTTTATTTGGAACAAACGGTGGAGGTCTCAAGTTCGAGTCCTTCCGTCATTTCTTAGCATTTTCATTATTTTAAGACGAAGTACAAAAATGACCCCTGTCGTTTACCAAATGTCACAAATTCAGTCCCTTTATATTTGAAAAGACTAAAATACCCTTACAGATTCAGCCCCTAACGGTTGAATACTAACGGGTTAGTAAAAAGGGCCATTTGTGCAAGTTTTGCAAACCATAAGGACCATTTACATCAAAAAAAATTAGTAGGGACTGACTTTATGACTTTTGGCAAACCACAGGGACCATTTTTGTAATTTTGTCTAAATAAAGGATATATAAAACAACTAAACCTCAGAAAAGTTGTGTAAAGTACAACATACATACATCTTTAAAAAACAGCTTCACTTCCTCATGACATGCTGGAGCAGTGACATCTTCTCTAGAAGGAGTCACATTAGCAGAGGTGGCTGAGAACCTTATATGGGCAATGTAACCAGTTCCAAATCTTGATTTCAACCTGATTGAATTCCCAATGCAGCGAAGCCTACCTTTTGCCATGATTCCAATTCGATCACTTAAAATATCAGCTTCTTCCATTGAATGTGTTGTTAGAATAATGGCTCTCCCTTTCTTTGCATTCTCAATAACGTCCCAAACATGTCTTCGAGTTATGGGGTCCATGCCAGTAGTCTGAAGACATGAAGTTTAGACCAAAATGGATTGAATATGATGATGATATGGATTCACATGAGTTGTGGTAAAAAAAACAAAAAATTTAGTTTATTTTTTTTACCGGTTCATCTAAGATGACCAACTTTGGTTCACCGATTAGAGCTATTGCAACACTGAGGCGGCGTTTCATTCCTCCACTGTAGCTGCAAGATGTTACTCTGGCTGCCTCTGTGAGTCTTACCTCCGCCAATGATTTTTGAACAACCTGTATAACAATTAACAATGAAATAAGGATAAATCTTGAAAATTATTTAAGCACAAAAGTGACTGCATATATAACACTCTAATTAGGGCGCACCGTTTTAAGTGAAGCAGGGGGGAGGCCCTTGATACTGGCAAATAGATAGAGGTGTTCTTGACCAGACAGTGCATCCCAAAGAATATCAAACTGCAAAACAGATCCATACACACACAAATTCTTACTTTCTGAATTATGATCCTTAATAATCACTTCAAATGAAATACCGATATAAAAAGAAAGTAGTCACCCTCACCTGGGGGCAAACACCTATCATTTTCTGGATATTTGACATGCCAACAGAGCTTCGGATGGAATGTCCGTATATGAGAGCTGTTAATCATAAGACATTTAAAACTAATGTAATCTCATTTAAAATAAATAAATAAATAACTGCAACAGGTAAACATCCACACAAAAAGAACAGATTACCATCTCCTTCAGTGACCGGTGTGATTCCTGTTAAGCAATTGATTGCAGTAGTTTTTCCAGCTCCATTTGGTCCTAGAAGACAAAAAAGCTGATCCTTTGGGAAGTTCATCCATAAGCCCTGTAAATAAGTTCAAAGTAAAATCAGCTTGCAGGATATACTTTCACAAGAGCATAAAAAAATAGTGTTGTACCTTGAGTGCATGGTAAGGTGCACTTCTCTTGCAATTGCAGCAACCAATGTTAGTTCTTCCAGGATATACCTTCTCAAGACCATGTATCTCAACTGCAAGATTTGGATCAACAAAACCTTCTCTATGTTGCTGCTTCACAATGTTTTCCTCTTGAAGTACATCTTCATCATCTGGATACGTGTTTCCCAATGTTGGAACAGACCACATGCAACTACAGATCCGACCCTCTTAAATAAACAACGGATTAAGATGTTTTAGTGATAACAATAACAATAGAATTTGCAAGAATAGAAAGAACATATGGTTATCTATTCATTCAGTTACCTTCCACCTTGTTTCCACCTTTCCCTGACCAGTATCCAGGGTTCAGACAGTAGAAAATTGGTTTTCTTACACCTGATGAGTTGGGGAAGATATTATCAAAGTATATTGCAAGGGAAACCCACAGGATATAGGTTGATACAAGCCATATATAGATATCACTCTGCCAAACAAACAAAACAAAATGAAGCTGTTGAATAGAGTTGACCATTATGCTGGCGTAGTTATTATGATCCACACTGTTGACAGTTGTTAGTTGAGTTAGTTAATCAATTTAAATTTGTTTCTCCTCTCATCAATTTCTGTTTTCTTTCAAATTTGTTCAATCTGATTTCTATTTCTACATGGAGAGAGATGTGGTAGCCAAACACGAAATAAATAGTACATACCACTGTTATTATACAGTCAATGTCATTTGGTGCACACTTCCCAATATGGCTCCACCTGATACCAGGGTCTTGAGGAGTGGAAGTAGCATCAGCAAGCAACTGAAGGGCTTTAGCAAGAAGATTAGGTGGGAAGAAAGACCAGATGATCCTTTGTGTGTTAGAGAAGTTGTCAGTGTAGGGAAATCCAAATATCGTAACCACCTTCATGCATAAAGGAAAAAAGATCTCAGATCTGACACGTGGCAAAGTGAGTAGCTTTTTTGTAAAAGCAATAAAAAATGAAGTTACCTGTGTCAGGAAGCCAACTATATATACGGAGAAACCGACAGTTGTGGATGAAGTGGATTTGCTGATGAATGATGAAAACATGAACGCAAAACCAATCTGGCAGTAAAAGTTAGAAAATGTTAATCCACCAACATATGGAATGGGATTTATTTTTATACAACTTGGAAAAAGATTTTTTTTTTTTTACCATGTTTAATTGGAAGAGAAAAAAACACAAGAAACACAACTCCAAAGCTGTTGTTCAAGAAGAAATCAAACTGAAACATCATTCCAAAGAGAACTATGAAAAGAGATGAAAATAGGGTGATGATTCCCTCCCATGTGAGCCACGATAACCAATAAGCCGTGTCATAAAGTCCCATCATAGCCATCGCCTGTAAGGAAAACAAACAATACAAATTTTGAGATATGACAATTGGAATATATAAATGTAAACAAACATTTAGCATAAAAAAAGAAAAAATTCTAATTAGCACCTGGCGAAGCCTGAGTTCTTTCTCGACTATCAAAGAACTAATCTGTAACACAAAACCAAACATGGTAATTGCCAGGAAAAAACTTGGTCCTGCTGTGCCCACAGAAGAGTATGTTTCAACTACCGGATGAGCAAATTCCTTCAAACTCACAATCCAACTGAAACTAGGATCTGCATGCCACACCGTTGAAATGGAGTAGATATGACAGTCCATAAGTACAATAATAAAATCTAATAAAGGAAGTGATCATATACATATAATTCTATACCTCCTACTAACGACCTAGCAATTTCGCGTTCAGCAGCAATTTGGAGTGGTATTGCGAATTTGAATGTTGGATCTTCATAATGTCCTCGTTTTGCAATAGGTGTAGAGTTTGTCTGTAATCCGTAACTAATTACAGTAGCATTTCTCTCTACAAAATGAAGAGCTCCAGGACAGCTCATAGGATTCGCCAAAAACCATGCATCCACCTCACCTTTTGTTCGAAAAGGTTTGACCTATGGACACATCATCAATTATCCTTCAAATGAGAATCTGTTTCTATTAAAAGTGACTCCTAACTGAGAGCTAATTGCAATATGGTACAACATATCAAGAACTACTTATTTTCGATTGTCTAATTTGAGTGCATTTCTTGTCATATAGTTACGTATTTAATTCGCAATTTCACAAATTAGATTATATTACCACAATTTATGTGTTATATTTGATCAATGGAGATGGATGGCACTCAAATGAGTCGCCTGATAAATTAACAAATCCAACCCTTTGAAATTGCTTACATTGTCTTTAAACGTAAGATTCTAAAATTTTCGCAACATCCTGTGACATGGAACACAAAAGATAAGGAAGTTTGTTGAAATATATAGATATAAATTTGATCTTGGTGTACAATAGTGGGTATAAGTATATTGAAGTACATGGTTAGTTACTTAGTTGTAATTATGCTGGATTTAGAGATAAATAAGATGTATATTCATTAAGGTGCCAGATTAATAGCCATGCTGTAATTGGCTATGGAGGAAGTCTGTCGCGGATCTGTCGCAAACTTCCTTTAGCGATGGATTTGTGTAAAGTGAATGGAAATAAGAACAGTAGAGCATACATGGAAAACAAATAAGGACCAATTATGAAAACTGTTAGACATTATAATGGATCATCTGAATTAATCAGTACATATAGCAATCAAAAAACAATCTGATTTTGAAATGTCAATAGAGCCAACTCCTTCAAGAGCTTGGAGTTTCTCTTCATCATTGCCTTGGGGATTGAAGGGTTTATTTCAAAGATAAGAAAAAGAATAAAAGAACACAAGTAGATGACGACTTTTAAAAGTTCTTAGTTTTTAATTATATACTTTGCATCTACTTTAATATTATAAGTGATTCTTGTATTTAATGAATTAACTCGGTATATCTTGATGAATGTTTAAATGTATGATTAAAGTTTCCTTATGAGATAAAAATGTTTATATTGCTAATGTGTTGAAGTAGAGAAAAGAAAGAAAATGAGTGGAAATGAAAAGAAAATAAAAGAAATTTGTGTTCACGAGTTTCATTAAAAGAAGGAAGTGGGGGAAATGGAATGATTACTTTCTCTCCTAACTTTCCTTCAGGATTTGGAAAGAAGAAATGATTAATTTTCCTTCCTCTTATAGAAAATTTTGTTTTCCTTTGCTTTCTCTTCTTATGTCTCGTGACTTTCTTTTCTTTTCTTTTTTTTTTTGTTTTGTTAGAAAACGCTAAAAACAAAAATCATTCCGTACTATGATTCTATCGTCGGACGTCGGCAGTGTACCAAAAGCTATTGCAATGGATAATAAATTGATCGCCTTAATAGTATGTTCATTGTTGAAGACAAAAATGCTTATGTCTGAATGAAGGTGTATAGAACAACTCTTACCAAATAATTACTTATTTACTAGAAACAAAGTAAAATTTGAAATCGAAGGATGATTACCTTGGTAGAAGGAATAGGCCTACCAGGATTATTAGCCCTAATTTGATCAACAATCGATCCAATCCTGGCACTATCACTGCCGCTCCAAACAAAGTCAAAACACGGAAGCTTAGTGTAATACTTATCCTCGCACGGAGGGATCGGAGGATCGATTAGCGGCTCAGGATCTCGTAAAGACTTGAAGGCAGTCGAAGAGCCGAATCGAGCTTCAATTGCTTTTTGTATAATGAAAAGCAAAAAAATAAAGAATATTGATGAAAATAACTGAAGGAATGTGGCTCTCTTGTTCCGCCATGCGAGCAGCAAGTTCTTCGTGAACAAAGCTTTGTATTGTTGAAGCAACAGCTTAAATCCCCTCTGCAATTCCATTTTCACTCTCGTTGTGTACGTTATTGTGTGTATATGAATCTATACAGGTATATGTATATGTGTATCCGGATGTGTGCGGGTGTGTTGGAGATTCTTGACGCGGGGTTTTGATAAACAAATGCCACTGATGTATGTAGAAATTAGGGTTATTTACAGAAAAGTCTCAAACTTTTTTCAAAAGTTTCAATAAAGTCCTAAAAGTTTTTTTTTTAACAGAAAAGTCCCAATATTTTTATTTTTTGCCTAAATTTACGAAAATGTCATTTTTTATATTTGAACAACAAATGATAGATTATATGATTTTTTCAAAATATTGGGACTTTTTTATTCAAAAAAAACTTTTAGGACTTTATTGAAACTTTTGAAAAAAGTTTGGTACGTTTCTATCGATAACCCTAGAAATTACTAGTTGTGCCACTTAAAACTAGACCTGTCAATGGGATGGGTTTGGAGCGAATCACCCTTGATCCAAACCCGTTTAAAATAATAAAAACATGACCCACCCCGCTTCAATAACCCTTAGGGTCTTGAATAGTCGAATTCATACCCGTATCCACCGAATCAACGAATACCCGACCCATTAACCCGACCCTTTTATAATATTATATTTTCATAATTTTTATGTGTTCCACAAAGTAATATTTCTCAAAAAGATAAAATGTCTATTTAAACAAGATGTACATTAATTAATACTCAAAGTCCAATACAATAAAAATAATATTTTACTTAGACATCGAGTGGTATATTTTGTTGTCATATATATATATATATATATATATATATATATATATATATATATATATATATATATATAATGTGGCGGGTTATAAGTGGAGCGGATCGACAATGATCCATACCCAACCCATTTATTAAAAGGGTAAACGGGTATGGATCGTAAACGGGTAAACGAATCGTAAATTACAATCCAAACCCGTAAAATTCTTACGGGTTTGTAGCGAATCAAGGTCAAAACCCGCCCCATTGACAGGTCTACTTAAAACAGGAAGTTAGATCGGACTTTGCACTATATACAATTCACCCCCACAACCTATCATAACAGCTACAATTATCCCAAAACTTACGTTTTTCTCATCACTAATTGTCAAAGACTAAAAGTAATGATAAAAACACACAAATGAAATAATAAATAAATGATTAAAACAACGGAAAATGATTTAAGAGGGTATTGTTTTGTTAATATGTAGGTAACTTTTTTTTTCGTGGACAATTAACCAATGAACTTTGTTACAAATATTCAAATGTTATCATTGTGATCGGTTACTTAAGTTACAACTTATTTACTTTATATATCTTTTCTAATAAATGAAGTTTTTTTTTCCATTTGTCACGTTCTTATTCAATTTGTAAAATGTAATTTTGTGGTTATTTTTAATTAATTTTTTTCCACATGTCATTTTATAAGTTTTTTCTATTTTATTAAATTCCACATAATCCTCTCTAATAAATGAAAGTTTTTTTACCACTTGTCATACTCATTCAAATTGTCAAATGTCATTTTGTGGTTATTTTGAATTAATTTTTTTTTCACATGTCATTTTATGAGTTTTTCTATTTTATTAAATTCCACATAATATTTTAATGTAATAATTACAATAAATGTATTAATAAATGAATATTAATTTCACTAATAAACTTACATTTTAATTTCAAAATTTCCAAAATTAAAGCTCATTATTTTCTTTTCTTTATTTAAATTATTTGTGTAAATTTAAAAGATAAAACACATTTTCATTATAATAAATCATTATTTTTCTTATTTTCTTATAAATTCAAAATTCTCAAATATTTTGACTTTCATATTTAACTTTTTTTTTTTAAATTAACTCATCTCATATATGAGTCTCACAACTAGTGTGTAACAAATTAAAACGGGAAAGTGACTTATGAAGATAATTACTTCTTTGTTTTGTTCACATTTTGACAACTTTTATAACTTAGACGTGTTTAATTTCATCTATTATTTGTCACGCTATGTAGTATTTGTGTATTTTACAAGTATACATTTTTTAGATAAAAAAAGTTTGAAGGCATATACTATGTTGCATAAATCATGATCATCTAACTCTTTTATGACTTAAGTTTTTCATCCGAACCTATTATTTTGACATATACTCATATCAGAAACATACATCATAGTGCGAGTTGAGAAGAAAAGACAGTTACACGAACATAGAGAAGATGAGATTATTTAAACTTAAAATAGCTTAAAGACTTATTGGATGAATAAGTGTCGTGGTATCAATTGTGATTATCCATCGTATTACTTTTAAACAATGTTTTCTTTTGTTAGAGGTTTTTTATAGTTTTCGAACTTCCACTTTTTAATTAAAAATGTTTTTAATCTTAAAAATATTTTTAAATTTTATTTTGTGTCCATATTTCCATAGTAAATTTCGTAGGCGTATTTCCATAGCAATTTTCATAACTATTTTTATGTAACAAATTTCGTAAGCATATATTCGTAGCAATTTTTCCATTGCAAATTTAATAGCTATATTTTCGAAGCATATCTCATAACTATTTTTCTGTAACCAAATTTGTAGCAATTTGTTCCATAGAAAGTTCGTAGCTATTTCTTCTATAAGACGATTCAACAAAATCGAATTTATTCGTAACCATATATAAAAAATACAATACATGTATATTTAAAAGGAACGTCAACTTTTAGAAGATATATTACAAAGTTACTTAATTGTCACGTAAATGTCACGTATACGTCAGGTAAGTTGTAACCTAAAATAGTCAGTCACAATGGTAACATTTGACCACCTTTAACAAGTTCGTTGGTCAATCGTGTACAAAAAAAATTACATAAATATGAACAAAAAATAATCACCCTCTTAAGTAATATTCCCTTACATATGCACATGTTTCTTAAAAATTTACATATGCATAAAAAATATGAATATGCATTAAAAATGCATTTTTTTAAAAAAAATTAATATTAATTTCAAAATATAAGGTATATTTTCATTTATTTGAAAAAAAATATTTAATTATTTTTTATATTTTTTAAATCGGTGAAAATATTCTTTATATTTCGAAAATAATATTTAAAAAAAGAATTTTTCAAAATATATATATTTTCTTAATACATATTCATATTTTTTTTGTATATGCATATTTTTAAAAAACATATGCATATGCACATATACATTTTTAAAAAACATTTTTAATGTCTCTATATACATAAGACTAAGCATATATATATATATATATATATATATATATATATATATATATATATATATATATATATATATGAATAAGTACTTGTGTATGTATATAAGAATAAGTATATGCAAAAGGCAATTATGCTTATGTATATGCATATGCATATGCATAAAAATAAGTATGTTGATGTGTTATAAAACAAAGCTTTAAAATTTATATCCTATTCTTTCAACTCAGTCAGAACATAGTAGGCAGTGTACCTAGTCGCGTAGTAGTAAAGTATATTAAGTAAGAGTCAAACACATGGAATACAATTTTAATTAAGAAAATAATAATAATACTTAAACTCAAAGGATTAAACTTAGATGGGGGGGGGGGGGGGGGGTAATCTGATTTTTCAAGTTCAGATAAACTTAATAAAGCAATCTACTAAAAAACTTTAAACTAAAGCAAATAACTAGAAAACGAGTTTTAATCAAGAATTAAAAGATAGTTTCGTTTAGCTTCGAATCCCTATTTTTATTATGGTTAATTTCAAACAATGGATTAAATATGTTGGTTACCAAATTAGAAGTTACTAGTTATCATGATCAGGACAATTAGCATATGTCAATTTATAAACTTTAACCCCAATGATCACGCAAGTTAAGTAGACCACATTGATTTACGATATATTTGGACTATGAATGAATAGATCTAAGAATTATCTATCTATGATTAAGATAAACAATGAAGCACATATTATGATCAGATAATGCTCTCTAACACAATTAAGCAACTAACTTTACTACATATACTAGGACATGGTTAATCTCTAAATCTAGCAATTTAATGATCATAAACAACTAGGTAAAAAAGTTCATGCAATCAACGGTCGTTTAACTACACAAAACTTGAAGGCAAGACAATAAAGATTGAAGCTTTAACATGCTAGGATAATGATCTACCAAACAAAAGCTTAAACCAACTTTAATAATCCATAAAGTAGAAATTAACACATAGTATTAGGGTTCATTTAGTCTAAACGAAAGTAAATTGTTATTAGCTGAAACACCCTAATTCATTTTTATGAAAAAAAAAAATTTACTGCGGTAATAAAATATATGATTGGGTCCCCATTTGAATAATAATAAAACTTCATTTATAAAATAATGACATTTTAAGAGTTTAAATAAACACACATAAATCCAGGTTAAGCTTTATTACATAAAACATGATTTATTGAAATAAACAACGTAACACTTTTAAATATAATTTTCAAGAGTAATGCGGTTGCCACGACAGTCAAGCTGCATTCTTCCCCTTGTTTACCCCAGAGGGTCCTATAAAAATGTTAATAGTATATGATAAGCCAACGCTTAATGAGTTCACAATCTATACATTTTACCACATGCATATAATCATTATAAAAATATTTACTATTTTACTACAGTAATCCTGAAACATCTATTGTTTAACTATAGTAGTCCTGAAACATCTACTGTTTAACTACAGTATTCCTAAAACATTTACTGTTTAACTACATTAGTTAATCATGCATGTCATATAATAATCATGGTAATGACATTTACTAATACATAATATGTAGCATAACATTTTTACTGTCAACCAGCAAAAATTACACGTACAACATGTTTACACATAATTACTATTAGTAAATAATAGTAAATAATGGTAAATAATATTTATCATAATATTTTAACATGAACTTGTTTTATAATAACTACATAAATGAGTATCACATATAGAAAAGTAAAACTCACTTTAATCGCAGAACATCAACACGAACTAATGATACACGTTTGTTTCTCGGGCTTATTCACTCGACAGCCTCTCGGGATTTATCTTCTAGATTATCAAGACTATAACTAACATGATTTAAACTTGTTGTAATTCATAAAATTAAGGCAAGTTACCTCTA